GGTTCTAATGGCCAGGTGGTTGGGATCTTTGGAGACATTCAAAATTTAAAATGATCTCTCATATTATGGACCGTCTATGGTATAGTCCTCTGCTGAATCCCGATTAATGGTGGGTTAACTGGGAATTTGGGGCATGGAGGTATCTGCAGAGAGTTGGGATTGTCCCGGAGCTGGTGTGGTGCAGTTGGGGGCCTTTAGGTGGTCATGCATATACAAGATGTTGGTTCTTTTGTGCCTCTAAAGATCAAAAACCTTTATGATTATTATTATCATTATTGTTTTTGCTTTATAGAATGTTTCATGTTTGCACTACCCCCTTATGGGTTGCTTAGTAATTATTTTTGGTTCCCTGTCAATTTGAACCTCTGGTTGAAAACCCAATCTCTGCTGACACCACCATGCTCCCATGGCCAAAGTAGATCACAACTGTAAACGCCCTGTGGGAGGGGCGAAACGCGTTGATGCACTTCCAGTCTGCCGTCTTATGTCCTACGTCACTTCCGGTGAGTAGAACGCACGCTGCGTTCCAAGCGGCCATCTTGTTGTTTTGTGATTAGACATTCTGTCATCTTCTGCCAAGCTGTGGGATTTCTGATGCTGTCCTGGATATAATGAGAGTTGTGAAAGCCTTTTGGAGGCAATAAAACATGCTGATTTTTATTCTATCTAATGTGAGTGGCCTGGTGTTTTGACATTATTGCATGCTGGGTGTTGCAGTATTACACTATATGTGTTTTTATCTCTCCTACACTATTTGGAGCCTGTCTGGGAGGAGAAGTTTGGAGGTATTAGAAGGTGGATTAAAGGTCTCATGTAGTGGAGTGGAGTTCTGGAGGCTGAAAAGAAGGGTCTAGGATCCCTAAAATACCTAAAAGGCATTTACTTCATCAGAATCTGGTGAGTGCGGTATATGTTGGTTGGAGCACTGGTTCATGGTGGAAGCACACTTCTTTTGAACAAAAACTTTTTTTGTTTTTTAATTTTAAATTTTTTGGGTTTTTTTTATTTTTAATATATTTTTTGACACTTAATATATTGTTCATAATTTCACACGATTTTTGGAGTGGGACTATTTGTTCATTCTATTTTCATATATTTTTATTATTTGCGCTGTTTATGATGATTTTACACAACTGTAAAATGGACTCACACACAAGTAAAGTGTATCCAATATGGAGCTTATATTGGAATCAAAGGTAACTTGGTGAAAAAGAACAAAATTACACTGATATATGCAGCAAATATAACCACTCTTGGTAACTGCGAGCAAAATTAACAACATTCACCATAAAACAACACTGACTGTTAGCAGGCCTGCCTTCAGAAATAATCTTCTGCCTCCAATCTGAGGGGACTGCTGAATCCCCAGTGAGCAGAAAACAACTAACAAGAAACAGGTAAGATAACTCTGGGTCCTCAGAACTAGATGACAAGGATTAGATGTAAAGGAAAATGAACTCTCAGCTTAATTTGAGCACTGTCCCTTTAAAAACGCTACAATTTCTTCTGCGCACTCGATGGGGCCCAGTTGGCAAGAAGTTGAGTTGAGATGTGGAATATAGTTCATTGGGATGGTAACACAAGAATAGTGAATGAACAAGGGGAGAATTAACACTTTTCCTCTTGAGGGTAGCAAATTAGGGCAGGGTCCCCTTTAAAGCACTAAACATGGACAGGCTTGAAGTAATTAATTGCAACAATTGGCATGAATGTCTCCCTTTGTACATCAAAGGCAAAAGCTAACAGTAGTGGGAATCCTGCATTGTTGAGGAAGGGAAGCTTGTTGTTTCAGTTGGCACTGCTGTATCCTGGCCTGCAACTGTATGTCCTGCAGTCAGCTTGTACAATATCCTGTAATGTAGATGTATTTTAACAATGTCGGCTGCTAGAACTAGGCTGCAAACTGAAGCACTTATATGTAATGTGCACAACTATGTGCAGGTAGATAGCTAGGTGTCAGTATTCACTTGGTCAGTGGATGTGTGGTTTTTTGCTCACTTGATTAACTAGTTGCCGACCGCAGATAGCCGAATGACGGCTAAACTGCGGCCGGCCAGTTCTGAGTGGACGTCATATGACGTCCTCCCAGAACGCGCTCTCCTGCGCGCCCCAGGGGGCGCGCACCCGGCGATCTCCGTGATCGCTGTGTCCTACGGACACAGCTGATCACGTTATGTGGTAAAAGGCCAATCATACCGGCCTTTTACCACGTGATCAGCGGTGTCCAATGACACGCTGATCACAGGGAAATGCAAGTGCCGGTTCTCGGCTGCACTTTCCTCACGCTGTCAGATTGTGAGGAAAGTACTGCCAAGAACCGTCAGTTGTCAGAACGGGGATCTGCACCGATCATCAGGGCACTGATGATCAGTGCCCTGATGATCGGTGCCCAGCAATGCCACCCGCAAGTTCCGCCCACCTGTGCCCAGCAGTGCGCCCACTAGCTCCGCCCACCTGTGCCCAGCAGATCACCCACCTGTGCCCAGCAGTGCACCCACCTGTGCCCAGCAGTGCACCCACCTGTGCCACTCTGCAGTGTCACACACCTGTGCCCAGAAGTGCCACCTACCTGTGCCCAGCAGTGCCACCCACCTGTGCCCACCCACCTGTGCCCACCAGTGCCACCCACCTGTGCCCACCCACCAGTGCCACCCACCAGTGCAGCCCAGCAGTGCTGCCAGTCAGTGCCACCAGTCAGTGCCCAGGGTTGTGCCAGTCAGTGCCGCCAGTCAGTGCCCAGCAGTGATGCCAGTCAGTGCCGTCTATCAGTACCCATCATCAGTGTCACCTATCAGTGCCGCCTATCAGTGCTGCATATTAGTGCCGCCTATCCGTGACACCTCATTAGTGCTGTCTATCAGTGCCGCCTATCCGTGCCACCTCATTAGTACTGCCTATCAGTGCCCTTTAGTGCTGCCTATCAGTGCCCATCAGTGCCGCCTATCAGTGCCCATCAGTGCTGCCTCATCAACGCACATCAGTGAAGGAGAAAAAATACCTGTTTGAAAAATTTTATAATAGAAACAAAGAAACTTTTTTTTTTTTTCAAATTTTTTGCAATTTTTTAATTTATATAGCGCAAAAAGTAAAGCGCCCAGTGGCGATTAAATACCACCAAAAGAAAGCTCTATTTGTGAGAAAAAAATGATCAAAATTTCATATGGGTACAATGTTGCATGACCACGCAATTGTCAATCAAAGTGCGGCAGCGCTGAAAGCTGAAAATTGGCCTGGTAAATAAGGGGGTATAAGTGCCTGGTAGGCAAGTGGTTAAGTAGTCCGGCAGATCGTAGCGGTCTGTCGCTCTCTGCAAATGGGGTTAATCCACATACTCTCCAGCTCAGACTTGGCGTCCCATCTGGTCTCCTGCTGTCAGATTGGCCTGCTGGGCAGCGTGCCCAACTGGGTGATCAGTAGGCTATTTCCACTCTTCCTCTCTCTCCAACTCTGGCTCGCCAGCCTAGTTCAACACTTTAGCCATCAGCACACCTCCTTCTCTTTCAGTCTTTCCCTGCAATCTCCTGGCAAATCTTTGATATTTATATGCCCCCGCCAACATGCTACCTCCCTTGGGGAAATGTAGTCCCAGACTGCCCTGCTCACCAGCTGAGCCCTGCTATACAGCATACAAGTTCCAGAGGGTTGTTCTGTCCATGTGAGTGGCCCTGAATGGCAGACCACCGCCATCTAATGTCTATTTTAATGGACTGCAAGTAATAACATTTCAATGGGCTACATTTATATTTTGGCTGTTTTGCCAATAAATGGCTGCTATGGCCAAATTTTCATTCTAAAATCTCTTTGGTTTGATCATTTTAAACAGATTTGATGAGAAGGGTGTAGGGGCATAGCAGTACGTATGGTGACTGGCTGATGACATCTGTTATGTCCTAGTCATGTTGCGAATTTTCCCTCACTTTCTGTCTGGTAAAAAATTTGTCATCAAGACAGAAAGTAAGGGGAAATCTCTCCAACAGAACCCCGAAAAGCAGTAAAACCTAATAGGGGTTCTAACCATTCCCCACTCCTTCCCAAACTAGAAAAAAGTTTTGACTTTACATATCCTTTAACATATAGTTTTCTCAAACTATTTATGTGTATAAACAGCCCTGTCTAGTCTCTTTTGGAAGCCTGGGCGACAGAGAGAAAATGCAAGAGCACAATTGGTAGAGAGGGACAGAGCGTTGTCAGTCCACAACAGGAGGTATCTACACAAGGACCTTCATTGCAGAATTAAAAAAAAAGCTGCAGATTTAAATATACTGTAAAGTAATTTTAAAATTACACCATCATAATAAAGCTTACATGAGATTTTAGTGTTTGGGATTATATACAGTACACTTTAAACGGAGAGAATTTTAAAGAAAAGAACCAAAGTTATAAGGGAAAAGCCAGTGGTGCCACCCAAGAAAAACAAGGGGAGCACAATGGCACCATTGATGACTGGGCTATCGAATACACTTTCATGGATCTGAGCAGCAAGTGCAAGCATGCAAGGTGCGACAATTTATTTCCCAGAATGGACTGTAAAAAAAATATCAAACGCCTTTGCATTCTTCAAAAGATCAGGTGAAATTTAAAAATGAAGTTCCTTCTGATCTTCTCTCAAGGTTCATGGCACCATCTTTATGGAAATTTTTCTCATTCCCAAATCCTCTGTTAGAATCTGCTGCATTTTTTCCCTGTTAATTTTCAATTCTTCTGCCATCATTCGCACACTCAGTCTTTGATCTAAGCGTACAAGGGTTTGCACTCTGTTCACATTTGTATCAGTCCTTTGCATTTTTAGCTGCCCACTTCTTGCCTCTTCATGGATATTTTCCTGGCCCCTGCCTAAACTGCCTTTTAAAAGCACTTAATTTGTTCATTGAATGTTCACCATAACAGAGCTAAAGTTTAACTCGCACTTTTGTTAATCCGCTGCTCCAGATTTGTATCACTCATTTTCCATCAACAGCGCAACACACACACATGTTATTTCTTCTAGTATACCCTAAGTACTGGTCTGCGATCCAGTGCAACTTTGAACATAAAAACTCTATAGAGTGCAGATGGCTGTGTGACCCACCACAATAGTGCTATGCCAGGGGTGGCTCCCGGCCAAAATGAATGCGGCTCTTTGCCTCTTATCATATTTTGTATACTGTGGCTCTTTGCCAAGTTTCATCTTTCTTTGGGGAGGTGGGGAGCGGGTACCTGAATTTGACAGGTACCCGCTCTTACTTCTTTGTTCTTTGATCTTACCTGTTCCGCTATCCAGCGGCGCGCTGTCTTCCGGCTTCTGTAGTGTGGGCACTGGGCATGACAGCCGGGTGCCAAGTGCGCATGCGCAAGAAGCGGTGCTTTTTGTGAATGGCAAGGCGGTACCTGGGACACATGACAGATCCCAGAAGCCACCAGACCAATCACAAAGCGCAAGTGCTTCTCGCTCATGCGCACTGGGCACCCGGCTGTCATGCCGAGCGCCATTACAGAAGCCGGGAAGACAGCGCGCGGCTGGATCGAGGAACAGGTAAGATCAAACAAAAACTCTGCGGAAGTAAGAGCGGGTACCTGTCAAATTCAGGTACCCGCTCCCCCACCTCCCCAAAGGTCAGCAGTCATCTGTACTGTCCGCAGTCTCTGGTCATCCCTGTGCTGTCCGCAGTCTCTGGTCATCCCTGTGTCATCCCTGTCCGCAGTCTTTGTCATCCCTGTGCTGTCCGCAGTCTCTGGTCATCTCCTGTACTGTGTCTGCAGTCCATTAGTTCAGAATTTTTTTGGTATACTTGTGTGTTAGAGTGAGAGAGAGAAGGGAGAGAGAGAGAGAGAGACAGGTGCCACAGCAACCTCCAGGGTAGTTGATGTGTTAACTCTGGCTAAGTTGCATTTGATGTGTGTGTTGAGGGTGGACACTTACCTTGAAATGAACACATTGTTGTTTTGTAAGGGGAAGAAAGTGTTATGGTGAATAATATGGTTTTAATTATGTGTTTTTTTGTGTGTTTGTCTGTTTTGGCAGGTCACTGCGTGGTGTGGCTCTCTGACTTTCACAGTTTAAAATTTTGGCTCTTTGTGTCTAACTTGTTCGCCACCCCTGTGCTATGCTGTGGGCATTTGGGGAATGAAATTATCACACCTCGTATACCAATGACTCCAATACAAGAGATTTACTAAAACTGGTTCATTCAGAATCTGGTGCACCTGTGCATGGTAGCCAGCTTCTAACCTCAGCTTATTCAATTAAGATTTTGCAATAAGTGCACCTGATTTTGCACTCTCTAGCTTTAGTAAATAAACCCCACAGGGCTGTATATAAGCTATCTACAATAAATATATTGAGGATGCCATATACTGAAGAGAATGCTTTTTTCCAGCTAAATATTTCATCCTGAACTATATTGAGACAAACTAAAACCATGAAAGCTTCCAGTTATTCTATTCCACTGTGGATTTTGACATGGACTTTCTCTGTAAGTATGGCATCAGCTTAGAGAGACATTGCAAATAATTGACATGGACTCTTGTATTATGGATTATAATTTACCAACTGGAAGAATGTCCAGTAGAATATACTGTATGTATGGTTATGTTTCAATGTGTAATATTGAATTGAATGGCTCATACTGTAAATTAAGCTCAGTAGAAGTGGATATCGAATGATTCATGATTATATTGGATACTCTTTGCTGTATGTATCAATATTCATAAGTATGGACTTGTGAATTACACTGTATTATATTCAGATGATGTTCCAGGATGCTAGAAGACCTTTACTAGCAGCCTCTTTTGCCCTTACATACCAGTGCAGTTATGTGCATGCAGGGCTGCTATCAGAAACCGCAGGGCCCCATACAGCCAACCCGACAGCACCCCCCCCCCCCCCCCCACAGTTTACCATGCTTCAATTATGAATGAACACAGTTAGTGATCGGTACTGATCACTCATTGTGTTCATTTAGGAAAGAAAGGGGCTGGTAAATGTGACATATTTACTTAACCCTTCCCCACTCTCCATCCTGAAGGATCCTATTGTGTGCTTGCAGCTGCCAGTGGGTTGAAGATTAGGGAAGTCAGCAGCACTGCAGGTTGGGGGCACACAGGGGTTCTAGGCAGCAGGGGGAAACTACAGTGCACATGGAGGGTGATGGGTGTGTCAGGGGCTTAATTACTGGAACTAATCCTCTGTATGACTCTCTCTGCAGCAGCTGAAAACAACAGGGAGGGAGAAGAGAAGAACACAGATTTCAGCTGCTGCAGAGAGAGACATACAGGGGATCAGTTCCAGTAATTGCCCCCCCACAATGCTGATTACCCTCCCTGCCCACATCTGTTTCACGCAGATGCCGGGCCCCCCTGCTGGACTGGGCCCTGTACAGGAGGGCTGGTGGTACCCCCTTATCCACAGCCCTGTATGCACATTTAGGGAATGACCCAGACAAGTTATAATTAATAAGGCTCAGCATAAGCATCTATCTCTACCAGTCTAAGTTCCTGGGTAAACCTGGATCTGATAACCAGAATCCTTGGCAAACATGCAAGTCCCTCTCTCCTTCCCCAATACTGCCCCTTGCAACAAGCATAGTTAGCAATGTCTAATATGGCATAACCCCTATCTTCCCATATTCTGTTATGTGCTAGGGACAGGGGCTACAGAGAATGGCTCAACTGTGTAATCGCCAAGAGCTTTGCATATTATAGGCTGCTATTATAGCAGAATTTAGGCTTCTGAAGGTATGGAAGGTCACAGTTAAGATCAGTCTGAGGGCTCAGCTCTTAGGGTACTGAGAGCCATCCTCCATGTTGAGATGCTTTTTCGGTGCATGTGCATCCACTTCTGTGCGTTTGTGCTTGTGCATTCGCTGCATCTTCATCTACTTCTATAGGCTGCCTGCACACAGATCCAAGGTGGATGCACACACAGCAAAAAGGGGCTCAGCATGGAGGACCAGACACAGCACCCATCTGAATAAGCCCTTATCACTAGCAACAGCAATAGGCTCTGCCAGACATGCCATCTGTAGTTCAGGTCTGAAATTCTATTATATACTACTACTACCTCATGCTATAGGCTAGCCAAACCACCACACAGTATTGTGGCCACATCATTGTAGGCATCTTGTATGAAAATATTACATTATTCCAAGAATAATTTTATTATTAAATTAAATGGACAACTGCCCGCACAGAGAATAAAGTAACAATTTGCATGGCTTTGTCCTTTTCTTTCAAAGGAATAACAAAAAGAAACGTTTTTGGCTTTGTGATGGATGTGATGACATAAAAATACCTCCAGGCAATTGTGTAACCACTAGGCAAACACCTTTATATCCTTAAGAATAGATTTTGACACTGCTAAATTTGTACTGGGCATCAAGGTCTCTATGACTTCTGGTCATTAAGGGGGTAATGATGTGTTCTTTTGAAGGGCTTTTTGGCCCACTACAAGTTAACCTGGTTGGATATCCAGGCTCATTGCCACCATTGCTACCCCTAGGCTCTGCTCCATAAAAGCCATAGTATTCATAGCTTGAACAGATGATTACTGACAAGTCTGAAACAACTAAGTGTCAGTTAGTACTTTTTTTTTTGCAGTGTCTGTGCCACAAAGCAGCAGTTCTGGATGCACAGTTGACTGTTTGTACACAATTTAATTAATTATGTGCATGGCTTCACCCACTACCATCTGTTGTAAGAAGGCAATGCCCTATGTGATGCTCATATAAGGAAGAAACTTAATAAAGTAATGAAGGAAGTCTTAGGTCAACCATTGAAATTCTCCCTTGGGTAGGACCTCTGTGGCCTTCATACATGTCTGTGCCTGCCAGCCCTGTATTTTCCTTGAGTTTTAACTAAGGACACAGATTACGTGATATGGAAATAATACACTGCGTCAAGGGAGGGCGATGTTACATTCACAATAAACATACATTATAGAGACCTTTTTTCCTCCATAAAGTGAACTTACCTAAATCAATAGGAGTCTTTCCTTTGAATAATAACATCTGAAGCTCAGGATCTGTAAGGGAAGGAAATATGAAATAAATGTTCCACGTATGTTTTGTTTCTTACTGTGTGAAATGCAGATAAGATCACCTTTGTATTAAACTGTTAACCTGCAACCATAGACTTGGCACATCTTTACATTCACTTTGTTGTTGAAAAAAATTGTTGATTACCGGGAGTATAATACCGCAGTTAGTTAGCATGTAGCCTAAAAGTATGCCATATCAGGACTGTAACGGCACTCTTTACTTTTCTCAGCCCATTGTACATTTCTATGCCTTGGCCCTAGAACGTACCAATGATTCCAGTGAAAGACCACATTATAAAGAGCTCAAGAGGGAACAACTTCTCCCGGGATTATCAAGTTGATCCAGCAGCATTTCACACCAATGCCATCTGACAGGTCAAAATCACGTGACATATCGCACCCTATTTGTGCCTACGGAACCGTTGAAAGCGGTGCAACACCGATTTTGAAAAAGGTTCTCGCACTCTCTTTGGCAATTTTATGTGCGATTTGCATTGACATAAAGTCGCACAGATGTCGGCAATCCGCACATGAGACCACACTGACCGATGGCTTTGAAATCGTGCTAGTTCACCTGAAGTAGAGTACTTTCAAAGCCACATTCGGTGAAAACCAGGGCTTAAAGTATCACATCTCACATATTTGCTGTGATATAAAACATTTTATAGCTTTCTCCATATGCACATATAAATACCAAACCTGACACCTAATGGCATGTCAATATTGCCTATACTGTGGATTGGGTAGCACAATAGCTAAGTGGTTAGCACTTCAGTCTATCAGCACTAGGAGCATCGGTTTGAATCACACTAGGGGTATAGGTTATTCAGCTCCTGTCTAAATTGGCTCTAATATACGGTATGTATAAATGTTAGTTAGGGACCTTAGACTGTGTGATCCTTGATGTGAACATACAATATGTTAGCGCTTTGTAAACTGACAGTGCAATGTAAGTACCTGTATTAAATAAATATACATAGTATGTCATGTCCTGATGCATTTCAAGACTTGCTTTTCTTCAGCTGCAATCTGATGGACAAAATACAGAAGCCCAGCAAAGGACACATTAAGATATATAGAATGTAAGAGATTGCTTGTGATTATAATTTAAAAAGCATCATATTCCATATATGCTTAGTTCAGTATGAGTCAAGGAGAGAGCGGAAGAAGGGCCTCCCTACAAGAGAAGAGATTCCAGAAGCACTTCAACTAGGTCCATCCAGTAGCTAGGCCAACTGCCGCCATCCAACCAGGGAATGAGCAGTTTTATCCTGAATAGTAGGGACTGGTACCATCCTATTTTTCCTTTGATGTTTAAAATTTTCCATGGTCATTTTTATAGGCTAGTAGATAAAGCCTTTGAACATGGAATAATCCCAAAAACGATATGGGAATTTATCAGTATCCTTTATCTCCATGGAGAAGTAATAACTCTTTGGGATGG